TTATTAAATATGAATGATAGATTCTTCTCATATATTTTGTTTCTCTTTCCTAAATTAGATTACGTTAATGAAATTTGTAACCCCTTATACACATTCAATCCTCATAAATCTAATAATTCAGGTGCAGGAACATGTGAACGTGCTTAAATTTGAGAAGCTTTAATTTATCCAAAAGCATGTTCATTTCCCTAATTAAAAAACAACTTACATTTTATAAAAGCATTCCCATAATCTGTATTAGAAACTGTAGTGTTTGAACTTTCAAAATACTTAATATATTGGTTTACAATTTAAGTATTCTATTTTAGAATTCTCAGTTAAGATATTGGTAAATGCAACATCCATTGCCTTTTTTTAGAAGATGACAAAGATCACCCATTTCTTTGATAGACATAAAAAGAAATTTAATATGTTTCCTATTAATAGAACATTGGAAGTAAAATGTTATTCACTCTTAAAACTGGTCATTGACCATTAACCCGTTGTTCCTGCCGTTTGTTTCTCCAACTTGATACCAATTTGGGTTTTGATTACATATAAATATCAATGTTCTATTAAAAACGTATTTGGGGATCAGTTCTTTTTATTTTTTCATTTATTATTTTGTCCCTATAAGAATTTTGATATATATTTTGGCCTGGTTAATTACGCCTAGGCCAAAATATGGTCCAATTCAATATTTGGTTGCTTTTTCTTTGTTTGTCAATAGTCACATTGGCAACCACACTGCATGCCAATTTGTTAGAGAGTGAAGAGTATTGGGAGAAACATGTTGTGGAGTTTGATGAATATTGGAAGGGAAGAGCAAGAATTGCTGAACAAGACAACAAAGCAGCTTATTCATCTGATCCCTATGCTGTCTCTGGCAACCTAACATCTAGTGTTAGCGAGTGAGCCTTCTCAATAATCAATTTCTTATTTCTTATACACATTTACCTACATATACTTGAAATTATGCTATATACTCAAAGGATGTATATATATAAGCTAATTAATTAATTATGGCAAACAGGCTCCTAGTTGGAAAGGGTGAACGAAGGAACTTGATGGGGAGAAACAAGGGACCATGCATGGCTACTAACCCAATTGATAGGTGCTGGAGATGTGACCCAAATTGGGCCAACAATCGCCAAAAGCTAGCTGATTGTGTTCAAGGGTTTGGAAGAAACACCAGAGGTGGCAAAGGTGGTCCTTTCTATATTGTAACTGATCCTTCAGATAATGACATGGTTACTCCAAAACCTGGCACTTTACGCCATGCAGTTACAAGAAATGGACCCTTGTGGATCATTTTTGCTCATAACATGATGATATACCTCAAACAAGAGCTTATAATGTCTAGTAACAAGACCATAGATGGAAGAGGTGCTGATGTTCACATTGCTAATGGTGCTGGCATTACTATACAATATATTAAGAATGTGATCATACATGGGGTTAAGATTTATAACATTCAGGTTCATGGTGGTGGATTAATTAGAGATTCTGAGGATCATTATGGTTTTAGGACACAAAGTGATGGTGATGGGATTTCAATATTTGGAGCAAGTAACGTTTGGATAGATCATGTTTCAATGAAAAATTGTTATGATGGACTCATTGATGCCATCATGGGATCCACTGCTATTACCATCTCCAACAGCCATTTCACTGATCACAATGAGGTCATTGATTTCTTTATTATCCTTCAACATCTGTGGAGTTTTTCTAGCTTAAAATTAGAGATTTTATTATGTGATTTGATGCATGATTTGGGTTATATGTGATGAAGGTGATGCTATTTGGAGCCAGTGATGGGTACAGTGGTGATAAGATAATGCAAATCACTGTAGCATTCAATCACTTTGGGAAGAGATTAGTACAAAGGATGCCAAGATGCAGATTTGGTTTTATACATGTGGTTAACAATGACTACACTCATTGGGAAATGTATGCCATTGGTGGTAGCCAAAATCCAACCATTATTAGTGAGGGTAACCGATTTATAGGCCCTAACAATATTAATGCTAAACAGGTAAAATGCATTCATTTCTATCTAATACCAATATTATATTCGTTGTTATTGGCATACATATATATATAAATACAATGTGTTGTGTTGTGTTGGGTGATGTTGAATTAGATAACAAAGAGGGAATACGTAACAGAGAGTGTATGGAAAAACTGGCAATGGAGATCAATAAATGATGAAGTGATGAATGGAGCATATTTCGTACAGTCTGGTCCTGAGTTGAAAAATAGGCCATTCTCAAGAATGGATATGATCAAAGCTAAGCCTGGTACTTATGTTGGAAGGCTTACACGTTATGCTGGCAAACTTGCATGCAGGATTGGTACTCCTTGTTAATTAATGGAGGACTTCTGTGCCGATCAAGAGAGGCAATTCAAATTGTTGTGAAACAAACAAATTACTACATGTTTCTGAATAATGTTTCTAATCACATCCCCATTATTCATAACTTTGAATTAAATAAATTTATTCTAAATTAATCATATAACTATTCTTCTCACTCTTAGTCTTGTGGTGTGTGATATTAATCATAATGTTTCTTATGATTTTCCTCTTATATTCATAAGAAAGGAATAGTCGACGAAAAATTAAGTGAATGCCAAAGAAACCCAAGCAAGGAGGTGTAACACCTTGGTTTTCCAACCAAAACTCAATACATTAATTATGAAATTGAAATAAGGTTACTTGAAAAGACTGCATTTCAAATTAAAACACGGGTTACATATACAAAATGGGAGTTTGATAAAATATAGAATAAAGATATACAAACAAGAACCATCCCCAACGAAAAAGCAGAAAAAATGGGGTTGTTAAGTAATACGACTCCTAGACTTCCTAATATAAGACCGGATCCCAGAAAGACTAAAAGAAAATCGTGTAGCGGTTCAGGCAAATCCATTATATCTAAAAAATATAAATCAAAATTTCATGACCTTATTGATATGACTAGGAAAAAGTTTTATATACTAAATTGATCTCTGCATTGAATTCAATCCTAAGGAATGTAAATTGATTAGGACCAATCTCATTCTTTTCCTTATACAAAGAATACTATATACAAAAATATATAACTTTTTATATTTATGTTGAATATTTATTCATTTTTTTAATATTCTTTTTAATTTGAATATTATAAACAATTTTATTTTATTTGCATTGTTCTAATTGTATAATCATCAATGACTAACATTGGTAAACGGCCCAAAGCAATCTGATTATAATTCAATTCGTGACGATCATAAGTCGAAAGTTCATATTCTTCAGTCATCGATAAACAATTTGTTGGACAATACTCAACATAGTTACCACAAAATATACAGATTCCGAAATCAATACTGTAATTTAGCAATTGTTTCTTTCTAATATTCGTTTCCAATTTCCAATCAACAACGGGTAGATCTATAGGACACACACGAACACATACTTCACAAGCAATGCATTTATCAAATTCGAAATGTATTCGGTTGCGGAAACGTTCCGATGTGATTAATTTTTCATAAGGATATTAAATAGTTACAGGTAAACGGTTTGTATGGGATAAAGTAATCATGAAACTTTGACCAATGTACCTTGCAGCTCGGATTGTTTGTTGACCGTAATTCATGAACCTAGTTACCATAAGGAACATATCGTGAATATCCATGACTATTTTTTTTTGTTTCTTTCTCTTGTTTGAGACAAGTTATGAATATACAAGATCAATATTTTACAATGAAAATAGTTGAGACGAAGTTGTTAATAATAAATTACCGAGAGAAATAGGTAAAAGAAACTTCCACCCAAGATTTAATAATTGGTCCATTCTTAACCTAGGCAACGTCCATCTTGTTGTGATAGAAACAAACAAAAACAAATAAGTTTTAGCTAATGTAATAAAGATATCAATTGTAGTTCCAAAAACTCCATATGCTTTATTTATTTTAAAAAACCCAAAATCAAATATGTACGGAATAGAGATATTCGAATTCAAATTGAATTGAATATTAATAACTAAAAATAACTTAATAAATTCAAAAAAAGAATTAACCAATTTTTGTATCTAGTTTGCTTGCTCACTTCCAGAACTGATCTAAGACGAAAGAAAATCTCTGACTGGTCCTAGAGAATAACCTTACTGGCTTACAGGGCACTCTCCATGGCTAGAAGAGGGAAGGACAAGTGAAGGATGAATGAAAGCTAGCCCTGAAAGTATATGGGTGGCAACTAGCCCTCTTACTATATATGAGTAAGCAAATACTGGCCCTCGCTCGACCTATGATATAAGAGAATAAGCTAGTTTAAGATATGGGGTGAGTTCCTCCTAATGGCATCTTAATCCCTTCAGTTAGGCCCTTTCCCCTGATGGCTAGCTTGATAATGGTACAGCCCTTTAGCTCGTTAGGACGTGATAGTTAGCACTAAACTAATAAGAATAGCCTCGTCAGATAGTTAACTCTTTACACGAATAGACCTTTTTCTTTATCCTTTGCCCTAGAACCTTATCTCATTCTTTACACAAGAAATCTTCTTTGATTTGATGGAAGGTGGTTCAAGGATGGGCCAATCAAGCCCTAAATACTTTTTATTTAATTCATAAATTAAAAAAAGTTCAGAACCTAGTTATAAAACAATTGATACACTTTGATCCCTTAACTCAATTTGTAGTACCGTTAGAGTCCACTTCTTCCCCATACTACGAGGGAAAGGGAAAATGTAAAAACTACCATTAAAGCAGCCCAAGCAAGACTTATTATATCCATGTAAATTTTGTCTCCTATCTCTATCAATATGAAGGAATTTTTTCATTATTGTTCACTAATTCTTCTTGTATTATCTTCTTTTTTGTATTATTCACTAAAAATACTATAATATTAGTGAAATCGCCGGTACAGAGTCAAAAAATGGAATTAGATTAGGATTCCCTATCCGACCTATCCCTATGCAATGTAATTCAAGACTCAGTCACTAGACGGACACTACTGCAATAGTAGTGGAGTAAAAGAACTATCATTTACGGAATAAACTATTTAAATTCTCTTGTTGATCAGGCGACACCCGGATTTGAACTGGGGAACAGGGATTTGCAGTCCTCCGCCTTACCGCTCGGCCATGCCGCCAAAACGATAC